TACAGGCGTGAGCCACTGCACCCGGCCTAGTTTTGATCTTTTAAAATATTGCTCTAGGAAATACTATTATCCCACATGAAGTGCCCAGAGCAGGGACAGGGACAGAGGCTACATTCTAGTCCCATGAGATCAGGCTGGCCCAGCCCAAGCCGAGGGTTTGCTGGAGTGAGAGAAATAAAATATTATTTCTCTTGGTTACTTAGTTCTTTCGGCAGCCCCTCGAATTTTGTGTCCAAGGTGAGTGCCTCACTCACTTGCCCTAGCCCTGGCCCTGGTTTGGGGGTTCTCGGCTGGAGTCTTAGAGTTATCATGCAGGAGCTCCATGCCTGTGGAGTCACATTGTCATGTGACTGACAATCTGGCATCTTCACCAGCAAGAGCGGGCCCTGTCACCTGCTTCTTCTTTCCGGTGCCTGCTTCTCTGCTAGCACATTGCCCTTGGACGCTCTGTGGAAGAGGTGTGACCCACACTCCGGCAGACCCTCGGCTTGGGCTGGGCCAGCCTGCTCTCATGGAACTAGAATGCAGCCTCTGTCCCTGTCCCTACCCTGGTCACCTCGTGTGGGCTCCTTCCCCCTCAGGGCAAGTTAGGGAAGGTCAACAGCTGAGTTCCTTTCTACCTGGTACCTGTCCCAGACCCTTAGCCTAGGCCTGGACACTGAGGAGACACTAAATGCTTGCTCACCTCATTCTCCCCTCACCCTTCTCGACCTCCCACCTTGATTCTCCAGAGGAAGAGGGAAAGGGGGAGGGAGAGGGGAGATGATAAGAGATGAGAACAGCTGTCATTTACCCAGGGCTTGCTATGGGCCAGGGACTTCACAGACAGGCTCTTGTTTAAGTTTTACATCACCTCATGGAATAGGTCCTACTATTATCCCCATGTTACAAACGAGAAAACTGAGGCATGGAAAAGTTAAGTGACTTGTCCAAGCTCACATAACCAAGAAGTAGTGGTACTAGGCAGAATTGGCTATACAATTTGTGGGACCCATTGCAAAATGAAAATGTGAGGACCCCTCGTTCAAAAACTATTAATAAATTCAAGACCAGGACAACAGAGCATTAATGCAAGTGTAGGGCCCCTGTGTGATTGTACAGGCTCCCACTGGTGAAGCTAGTCCTGGTGGTAGAATGTGAACCTGGAATTCTGACTCCAGAATCCACAACTCTGCATTTGGGGAGAGTAATAGTCATCACTGTGATCACCAAGCACCTGCTGTATGCATTGTGCAAAATCTTTTTTTTTTTTTTTTTTGAGACAGAGTTTCGCTCTTATTGCCCAGGCTGGTATGCAATGGTACAATCTCAGCTCACCATAATCTCTGCCTCCCTGGTTCAAGTGATTCTCCTGCCTCAGCCTCCCAAGTATCTGGGATTACAGGCATGTGCCACCAGGCCCGGCTAATTTTGTATTTTTAGTACAGATGGGGTTTCCCCATGTGGTCAGGCTGGTCCCGAACCCCCAGCCTCAGGTGATCTGCCCGCCTCAGCCTCCCAAAGTGCTGGGATTACAGGCGTGAGCCTCCAAGCCAGGTTGATTGTGAAAAATCTTAAAACGCTTTGCAACAACTCAGCAAGGACTAGGCATTGTTACCACCCCCCCTTTTTTTTTTTTGAGACGGAGTTTCATCCTTGTTGACCAGGCTAGAGTGCAGTGGCGTGATCTTGGCTCACTGCAACCTCCACCTCCAGGGTTCAAGCAATTCCCCTGCCTCAGCCTCCTGAGTAGTCCAAGGTGCCTGCCATCATGCCTGGCTAATTTTTGTATTTTTAGTACAGACAGGGTTTCAATATGTTGGCCAGGCTAGTCTCAAACTCTTGACTTCAGGTGATCCACCTGCCTCTGCCTCCCAAAGTGCTGGGATTATGGGCATGAGCCACCGCGCCCAGCCTGTTACCCCACTTTTAGGAGTGAGGAAACCAAGCTTTAGAGAAGGTGAGTTACTCACCTAGTGTTCCCAGTGGGGTCAGGATTTGAACACCAGACAAATTCCAGAGCCTGTGTTTTTCTTACCATATCAGATAGCCTCTGTTTGTAAGGATCACAAAGGCAGGAACTAAAACAGGGCTGGGCATGACTCAGACAATCTCTTAGGAACTTTGTTTTCCGGGCCCATCACTGGGGGTCGAGGCATCGCTTTGCTCATGATGGAAAGGTGTCCCAAGTCTGCAAGTATTTCCAGCAAGGCTTCTGCTTCCCTGGACATCGTGGAGATCAATGCAGGTAAGTCCCTCTTCTTCCCCTCTGGGGAAGTGGTGTCAGGGTGGGACACTAGAGAGAGAGTCCCTTCACAAATCATGTATCTTCCCAGAGCTGCTTCTCCTAACTCAGCTCCAAGTTCTAGGCTAAGCTGGCTCTGAGCCCTGGAGGGCTGTCCCTGTCTCCTCATTCTCTCCTTCCCCACTACAGCTGTCAGCACCCAAAGACCCCCAGCCCCCTGGAGTGGGGTCGCCGCCATTCGGAGCCACGCGTCACTCTGCCAGGGTCCCACCTAGGACTGGCCCGCAGGGGATCCGAGCCCACCTACCTGCCCTCTGTGTCTGTGGGCTGGGGCTGGGCCAGGGCCTGCTGGGGCGTGGAGCCTACCCTGGAGGGGCTGGCCAGCAAGGCTGAGGAGGTTGGCGGCAGCTCCTGGAAGTCCCTGCCTTCATCATGTGAGTCATCAGGGGCACCGCAGGTGGGCACAAGTGGGCACTGAGACTAGGGCTCGTGCTCTGCCTCTGAGTAGGGTTTATATTTTCATCCATTCCCCTTCCTCTTCAAGATTCCCGCTGGAGGGAAATTTTCCTCTAGTTCCACTGCTCTGTGTTCTAAAAGCAGAATACCATGGTGCCTATGGAGTCAAACCCCTAGTTCTAAATCCTGGCCCTACCACCTAGTAGCTGTGTGATCTTGGACAAGTCACTTAACCTCTCTGGGCCTCGGTTTCCTGATCTACAAAATGGCATTGATAATGATACTTAACTCACAGGGTCATTTTGAGGGTTGATATGCTTAACACAGTACCTGGTGCAGAGTATGCACTAAATGTTAGTGGCTATTTTTTATTTTATTTGTTTATTTCCTTGAGATAGGGTCTCTCTCTGTCACCCAGGCTGGAGTACAGTGGCACTATCTCAGCTCACTGCAAACTCCGCCTCCAGGGTTCAAGCAATTCTCCTGCCTCAGCCTCCCAAGTAGCTGGGATTACAG